TAACGACCTGTCTGTACATCTAAAGCTGGGGTTATCACCAATAAGCGGCGAGGATAGAGGGGAAAAGCGCTCAGTAAGTTAATCTATGTGAATCACATCCAAAAGACAAACGGAGGGCCATTTCAGGAACTCACTTTTGCTGATGGCAGTCGAATTTTTCTAGACTTTTGCGGATTGTATAGGCTATAATAGCATTTAGTACAAGTAATGTGAGGAACGGCAGGAATACCATAACCAGGTTTGACAGCCATAATGCGTAAACCTAGAAGTGGTACTTATGAATTGTAAAGCATCTGGCTCCTCTCCTGAGTTTCCTACTTGCTGGTAGACTGGATTAGCTGCCATTGCTGATGGTAATAGAATATAGCTCTGCCAATCTTTCCCATCTGGACAATCTGGATTTATGGTGACCTAAAACTACCCTAGTTTTCTATTCGTAGGTTATAATAAACCAAATGAAATCTACCTCAACTTCGAAAAATTTCGTTGCATTGAAGAGCACAGCAAACGTTGTGACACCGAGAATTGTCCATGCAGCTCCTCCTGGGGAATTCATATTATCGTTCACCAATAAATTTAATAATTTAAGGATGATACCGGAATTACACATTCGTTTGCTTCTTTTTGGATGGCATACAGCCAGGTATCGTTCTATAGTGACAGATACAGTAATGTAAACGCTGCCCGTTTGAGAGATGTGTGATAGAGCAAAAGCAAACCTGAACATGTAAAATGTCATTTCTACATTTCAAACAAGAAGGAAAATCTTTTTTTCCGTCACACTACCGCCGTACCACCAAAGACAAGAAAAAAAAAAGGAGGATTCTTGCCTTTTTTGACCAGAAGAGGACGTGGATTATAAAAAAGCAATTAAAATTGTATGGTTTCCCAATCTCGAAAGTTACGTTTTGTGAACGATATCTTCCATATTATCTCTGTATATAAAACATGCGGTTTTACAGCGTATTCCTTCTTGAAATATAAATTAAATGTACACTACAAATACTGATGAGCACGAGCTACTGTATGCTTTGTCAAATAAATTTCATAGTTCCCATTGCATCGCTGTATCATACTGAGTTTACAACACAGAATTCTCCAATGTTGGATTTTATGTAATTACTGTTATATGGAACGAGAGGTTTAGGCTACTATACCATCTTGTGTTGGTACTTAAGTTGAAGGAGGCATTTTTGTTTGTTGTTAGCGAAAAATAAATTGCAATTTTAGAAAATATCTGCAAAAATGATAGTTTAAAAATCAGTTTTGACGTGGGGAAAATTAGTTACTGCTTTTTCGGTTGATTATCTTGATTTTATAAATTATAAAAAAAGCTGCGTTCCTTAAAAGAGTGATTTAGCAAAACATTAAGCAGCAGATAGGTTTCTTGCTTGGAAGATAACCCTAATCAATACCCAACCTGTATAGCCAATATCTCTATTTCGTTGGAAAATCCTCTTCCATAAAATCTGCATTTGGCAACTTGTCATATGCAACATTTAATTAGATGAAAAGCAGGTCTTAAATACTTTTAATGCAAGTTCTTTGTTACAGTAGATAAGAGATGCCTCGGATCAGTTAAGGCTAATGTTTTGTTCGTTTCTGCTTTAGAAAGCACATCTAATCCTTCGGGATTTGA